GGTAAGATGGCGCCTGCCCATTAAGGGCTTTGTAGGCATACTTGCCAACCCTCCCGATTTTCGCGGGAGACTCCCGATTTCATTGCCCTCTCCCGGTTTCCTCCCGGGGTCATATTTCTCCCGCATTTCTCCCGATTTCTGACAAAATCAGATTTACTCACGACTGTTTCCACTCAGACTTTAATACAGCTACACCATTGTTTGGTTTCCATGGTAGCGTCTCTTTAGTAGCGCGCACAACTGAAAGTCTGAGAGGGTGAGGAAGATAGTCACAGAAAACTGAACAAGAATCGACCCCTCTGCTCACTCCTTTCCTGTAGGTCCAGCCCACACAGATACTCCATCAAGGATGGTGCTACAGGCCGCAAGGCATTGCCACTTACAACTACAATAAGCTTGCATCGTTTCCCTGCGTCTAGTCCCTCCCACCAGGAAGCATGGAGAGACGCAAGGAAACCACGAGAAGCAGGGAAATGAGTTTTCAGAGCAATGGGACGTCCTTTCCTCCGGAGTGTCACGTGAAGCGACGTCCGTTTGTGATGACGCCGCACAGCTGTTCGTCTGACAGCAGCTCTGTCAATGTTATTTTCACAAACACCCCCGCCTCTGTTAGTACACATTTACTGACACAAACATGTGTATCATCTGTTGTAGACCCAAATACATTAAATAAGAACTCATTCTCAAAAAAGATAAACGGCATTCTTAAAATGTATAAACGAACAATAGTTAGATTAATATTGATTAGAGTGCACAATAGAAATAAAATAATTGAGAGAAGAAAGAGAGATATGTTATCTATCAAAACCCAGTTAGATTAACATTCATTGGATTGCACACTTTGTTTGTTTGTGTGGATATGTAGCAGATTAACATGTTAAATAGCACTTAATGACTGACTGAATGGAAATGACAATAAATGAAAATGTAAAACGAAAAAGCGATCATGAAATGTTTCCAATAAATGAATAAAATGATTTTTGACCACTTAGTTGTTCAGATATATCACATATTTGTAACTAAATGATGCATTCATTGAAACAGAACCCAGTATGAACTGAGGAGTGAGTCCCGTGAGTTTCATGTGTTTTCTTCACTCCGCTGGGAAACTGCTCTCATGTCAAGAAGCATCAGATCAGTGCATGCGCTGCATCGTCCAATCAGTGAGCGATACACAGTAAGGGGGCGGGGCGAGTGTCTGAGGATTTCACCGGAGGATGGTCTGGTGGTTCCTCGGTTATCGCTCCTCCATTATCAGTCCTCGATCCTCGATCCTCGATCCTCGGTCCTCGATCCTCGGTCCTCGGTCCTCCGGCAGAAATAAGAGCCATGGGACGCTACTCAAGATGGCGCAGACAAATCAACTTCAGGTGATACCGGGACCGAGGAGCGAGGAGATGAGAAATAAGAGAAGTGAAACGCAGCCACAGCATGGCGAAGAAGATGATTGTAGCAGTGTGGATGAGAGACTGCAGCCTTCCTCAGGTCCTTTATGGAGGCCCTGATTGGGGATTGGGAGCACCTGAGGGAGACAATCAGGGATAGGGAGAGAGACACACACACAACACAACAGGTAACAATCTTGCTCAAGGTCTTCAGGGCGGTGGTGGCGAAGTCCATAGGGACTTGGCTTGGCAACTGGAAGGTCACCAGTTCAAGTCCCGGAAAGACCAAGTGCTACCGAGGTGTCCCTGAGCAAGGCACCGTTCCCTACACTGCTCCCCGGGCGCCGTACATAATGGCAGCCCACTGCTCCTAACACTAGGATGGGTCAAATGCAGAGACCTCTTTTCTTCTTAGAAATAAAAGACTGGAGCTTTGCACAGTGGCAGTATCGTAGCATGAAGTTTATCCGAGGCGCGATCATTGAATAAAAAAAATAAAAAATGTAATTAAATTAAATTATATAAAAGACTGGAGTTTCAGACAAAAAATCCACATTTTGAGAAAAAAAGACAGACATTTTATGTTTCAAAAGTTGGGATTTTATGAAAAGAAAAACACTAGGATGGGTCTGAGATTGTATCTAACACTAGGATGGGCTTGAGATTGTAAGGCCAAACCCTTCATCCTCAAGAGGGATACGGCCAAACCCTTTGCCATCCAAAGCGGTACAGCCAAGAACCATGTCCTCCAGTGTTCTTTCTCCTGAGGCTTTAAATCAGTCCTGCCTCCTGGCTGTCCTCCAGAAAGGGGTCATACTGTCTTTCCTAACCCCAGGATTAACCTGTTAAGCCCGAGAGACCCCAGTCCTGGGGTACTGCCGCAACATCTTGCAGGAAACAGTGTCTGAGGGCATGTTCATTTAATAAAACTATGAATGTTTTATATCCATGTAACGGGAAGAAACTCATCTAACTGATCATTTTTATTTTTTTTTCAAAAGAAAACCCACAATGCTAACACTGAGCCTCTGAATTAGCAACGAGCAAAAGATGCTAACACCTTACTGCACCGAAAATCACTCACAAAACCTTATTATTTATCTTTTCACCACATCCAACACATCGATTCACATCGTGAGGTGACACAGAATCGATGGGTACCCACATTATCACTGAATTATACGTATTTGCGACGTTATAAGCAAAAACGGACATCAAAACAGGTGACGCTAGGTAGCTAAAAATGCTAACAAGGTTACCTTGGCTCTGTAGTCTCTCCAAAGTGGTCTTCAATGGCATTAAAACGATAGAAACGCTGCTGAAGTTAATCCATAGGTTAATCCAATGTGTCTGTGTCCCTTTGAAATGATTTCTGATAATCCATAAGCATTAAAACTGCTTTTCCGTTTCCAGATGTCAGAGCTAGAGATAGGTTCACTCTGATGCAAAATTACATGCGCGAAGCCCCCACCTTTTCTCTTCACAACGTGTGTGTGGGGGACTCCCCCTTCGATTCTATTGGCTCTAACGGTCAGAAAGAGATGTCAACCATCAAAATCCAGCAAGGGGGGCCAGAGATATGGAAAATCCACCCAAATGACCCCAGAAGTGGTTTATTTTTACTAAATCTCTCTAAAAAGGTCAAATGTCACTTGTTTTGCATCAATCTTGATACAGGGTACTAATTATATGTTGTACTTTGGATTCCTAAAGCTTTTAGTCTACTAACCCATCATCCAAGGGTAGTTTTCACTATAAGTAAAAAATAATTTTTGGACGGACACTATAATTTACAGTTTTTTACTATGTAAAATCTGAATTTTCTTTAAAATAAAAAACATCTATATTGATTCTAACTTTTCTACATCCAACTCACAGGTTTATCATTACTTTGAGAAAAAAGATTATTAATTTAACCCTTTTAGAAGGGAAGATATGGTCATTTGTTCTGGGAATGTCATTTTCGAGCCTGAGACCTGAAAACAGGCTCAGGGCTTAACAGGTTAAAAAGGCATTATTAGGTTGTGTGGAACCAGTGCACAAAATGTATTGAAGTCCCTCCCATGTCTGCTAAACCAGAAGGAAAACATAGCTATTGGGCTTTTTCAATTAAAGTTAAAGACAGTAAATAATAAAACACAGAATGAAGATATGTCAAATGGGACACCCTAACAAGCCACTTATCAGCAAGTATGTCAAATAGAGCCTACTAACACATCTAGAAGGAGAGAGAGTTGATGTATTATGAAGACAGATTTACAAGTTTAGGAAACACCAACACTAACTAAATGCCTTCATCTAATCTAACCCTGACTCCATATTGACAAGTCTGAACACTGGTACAATACAATAAATACAGATATGACAAAGTGAGTATTAGTTTATAACTTAGTGTATATAAACTCTTACATATTGTATTAATAGCTGCTGCTTTAAGCTCTTTTTAAATACAGATAAAGTCATTTTTAAAGTGTTTTCAATATCTTACCACACTAAAGCTGGTATATATGTATGTTTTACCCTTTATAAGACGCTTTTACCTTGTCTTCTGTGTATGGAAAGATAAATGAGTTTGGACAGGGTATACCAGTCTGTTGCTCAGCATATTTGACATGTTACATTTTCTTAATTGAGTAGTTGGGATTTTTTGGTGAAGTTGTTTACACTTAAAACAACATTTTCATAAAATATATTGATATTGAAAGAGGGTTAACCCATTTACTAAAGTAATGTACTAAAGTTTAAACATTTAGGTACTTGGCGGTGGTGGGAACTGGAAGGTCACCAGTTCAAGTCCCGGAAAGACCATGGGTGTTTCTCAATGTCGAGTAAAGCTGCTCCAGAGCCACTATTTCAAGCCTACTACGTCATCGAGTGCCGCAGAAGTACTGTTCTAATGGCCAGCATACTTGGAAATCTACCGAGCCCGGCGTACTTCGTAGCGAGAAATTTCGAGGCTGCACATGTGTAGACTCCGGTCTTAAAATCCCCACAATGCTTTGCGCACGGACCAATTTCCCCAAATCTGTGGCGGAAGATGTAAGGCGGGGCCTCTCATATGACGCACACCTGCACACTTGCTAGCGTGTTCCACTCTTCGTTTTCCGAATGCCAGGAAGTATTCTTGACTCGCTTCTGAAGCAAGATGCTCGGAAGACATGTGCTACCAAGCAAGCATACTCGACATTGAGAAACACCCCAAGTGCTACCGAGGTGTCCTTGAGCAAGGCACCGTTCCCTACACTGCTCCCCGGGCGCCGTACATAATGGCAGCCCACTGCTCCTAACACTAGGATGGGACAAATGCAGAGACCTCTTTTGTTCTTAGAAATAAGACTTGACTTTCAGACAAAAGTCCAGAGAAAAAAAAAACGATGGTTTTGCTTCAGAAAAAAAGTTGAGATCCGAGATTTTATGAAAAAGACAGAATTTTGTCAAAGAAAATCTGAAAAGTCAGAAATCTAACATTTTTGAATTTCTAGATTTTAGACAGAAATCTGAATCTTGAGAAAATGCAGAATTGCTCCGAACACTCTCCAGGTCAATGGTTGGGTGTTTAACAAGTCAGTAATTGTTGTGAATGCCAGTGTCTCTTTGGTCAAAAACACACAGATATTCATTTAAGACATTTCCAGTTTAATGATGAATCAGAAAGTACGTGATTATCTCCCAGTGGATTGATGACATGAAAGATTTCTCCATGAATCCCAGCTGTCAAAACATGTTTTTCCCGAAGTCGATTGGCAATAGGTGGACATTTCTTTTTAGATCTGAACAAAAGATTATTTATTTCTGAACTTGCAATTTTCTGAAAAAAGTATGAATGAAAAAAAACACTTTTGATCAGATCTAAAAACTAATTAAAACACACACACACACACACACACACAGACACAGACACAGACACACACACACACACACACACACACACACACACACACACACACACACACACACACACACACACTCACACACACACACACACACACACACACACACACACACAGTGAGTAATTACAGTAAAGGAATAATCAGATTTCCGTTAAACTCTAAAATGATTCTGCAGGCCGACATGGAGCCGCTTGATACCCTGGAACAATCTAAAGAGATGTTCACATCTGTGTGAGTCGATCATTGTCGGAGAAGGACAGGTTGTAAACGCCGTCGCTCGCAGTGCCGTTCTCCTCCGCCCGAGACTCTTCTTCTACCTCCTCAATTCCAGTCTGCTCCTCCTTCTTTTTACTGGGAGGAGAAGAAGAGACAGAGTTGGTCGGAGGAAATAATGTCCCCTCACTTTCTAAATGTAATCCATTACAACAACTAGTTACATGTAACACAATGTAATCAGTTACAACAACTAGTTACATGTAACACAATGTAATCAGTTACAACAACTAGTTACATGTAACACAATGTAATCAGTTACAACAACTAGTTACATGTAACACAATGTAATCAGTTACAACAACTAGTTACATGTAACACAATGTGATCAGTTACAACATCTAGTTACATGTAACACAATGTGATCAGTTACAACAACTAGTTACATGTAACACAGTGTAATCAGTTACAACAACTAGTTACATGTAACACAATGTAATCAGTTACAACAACTAGTTACATGTAACACAATGTGATCAGTTACAACAACTAGTTACATGTAACACAATGTAATCAGTTACAACAACTAGTTACATGTGACACAATGTAATCAGTTACAACAACTAGTTACATGTAACACAATGTAATCAGTTACAACAACTAGTTACATGTAACACAATGTGATCAGTTACAACAACTAGTTACATGTGACACAATGTAATCAGTTACAACAACTAGTTACATGTAACACAATGTGATCAGTTACAACAACTAGTTACATGTAACACAATGTAATCAGTTACAACAACTAGTTACATGTAACACAATGTAATCAGTTACAACAACTAGTTACATGTAACACAATGTAATCAGTTACAACAACTAGTTACATGTAACACAATGTAATCAGTTACAACAACTAGTTACATGTAACACAATGTGATCAGTTACAACAACTAGTTACATGTAACACAATGTGATCAGTTACAACATCTAGTTACATGTAACACAATGTGATCAGTTACAACAACTAGTTACATGTAACACAATGTGATCAGTTACAACAACTAGTTACATGTAACACAATGTGATCAGTTACAACATCTAGTTACATGTAACACAATGTGATCAGTTACAACAACTAGTTACATGTAACACAATGTAATCAGTTACAACAACTAGTTACATGTAACACAATGTAATCAGTTACAACAACTAGTTACATGTAACACAATGTAATCAGTTACAACAACTAGTTACATGTAACACAATGTAATCAGTTACAACATCTAGTTACATGTAACACAATGTGATCAGTTACAACAACTAGTTACATGTAACACAATGTGATCAGTTACAACAACTAGTTACATGTAACACAATGTAATCAGTTACAACAACTAGTTACATGTAACACAATGTAATCAGTTACAACAACTAGTTACATGTAACACAATGTAATCAGTTACAACATCTAGTTACATGTAACACAATGTAATCAGTTACAACAACTAGTTACATGTAACACAATGTAATCAGTTACAACAACTAGTTACATGTAACACAATGTAATCAGTTACAACAACTAGTTACATGTAACACAATGTAATCAGTTACAACAACTAGTTACATGTAACACAATGTAATCAGTTACAACAACTAGTTACATGTAACACAATGTAATCAGTTACAACAACTAGTTACATGTAACACAATGTAATCAGTTACAACATCTAGTTACATGTAACACAATGTAATCAGTTACAACAACTAGTTACATGTAACACAATGTAATCAGTTACAACAACTAGTTACATGTAACACAATGTAATCAGTTACAACATCTAGTTACATGTAACACAATGTGATCAGTTACAACATCTAGTTACATGTAACACAATGTAATCAGTTACAACAACTAGTTACATGTAACACAATGTAATCAGTTACAACAACTAGTTACATGTAACACAATGTAATCAGTTACAACATCTAGTTACATGTAACACAATGTGATCAGTTACAACAACTAGTTACATGTAACACAATGTGATCAGTTACAACAACTAGTTACATGTAACACAATGTAATCAGTTACAACAACTAGTTACATGTAACACAATGTAATCAGTTACAACATCTAGTTACATGTAACACAATGTAATCAGTTACAACAACTAGTTACATGTAACACAATGTAATCAGTTACAACATCTAGTTACATGTAACACAATGTGATCAGTTACAACAACTAGTTACATGTAACACAATGTGATCAGTTACAACAACTAGTTACATGTAACACAATGTAATCAGTTACAACAACTAGTTACATGTAACACAATGTAATCAGTTACAACAACTAGTTACATGTAACACAATGTAATCAGTTACAACAACTAGTTACATGTAACACAATGTAATCAGTTACAACAACTAGTTACATGTAACACAATGTGATCAGTTACAACATCTAGTTACATGTAACACAATGTGATCAGTTACAACAACTAGTTACATGTAACACAATGTAATCAGTTACAACAACTAGTTACATGTAACACAATGTGATCAGTTACAACATCTAGTTACATGTAACACAATGTAATCAGTTACAACAACTAGTTACATGTAACACAATGTGATCAGTTACAACAACTAGTTACATGTAACACAATGTGATCAGTTACAACATCTAGTTACATGTAACACAATGTAATCAGTTACAACAACTAGTTACATGTAACACAATGTAATCAGTTACAACAACTAGTTACATGTAACACAATGTAATCAGTTACAACAACTAGTTACATGTAACACAATGTGATCAGTTACAACATCTAGTTACATGTAACACAATGTAATCAGTTACAACAACTAGTTACATGTAACACAATGTGATCAGTTACAACAACTAGTTACATGTAACACAATGTGATCAGTTACAACATCTAGTGACATGTAACACAATGTAATCAGTTACAACATCTAGTTACATGTAACACAATGTGATCAGTTACAACATCTAGTTACAAGTAACACAATGTAATCAGTTACAACATCTAGTTACATGTAACACAATGTAATCAGTTACAACATCTAGTTACATGTAACACAATGTAATCAGTTACAACAACTAGTTACATGTAACACAATGTAATCAGTTACAACAACTAGTTACATGTAACACAATGTGATCAGTTACAACATCTAGTTACATGTGACACAATGTGATCAGTTACAACATCTAGTTACATGTAACACAATGTAATCAGTTACAACATCTAGTTACATGTAACACAATGTAATCCATTACAACAACTAGTTACATGTAACACAATGTAATCAGTTACAACAACTAGTTACATGTAACACAATGTGATCAGTTACAACAACTAGTTACATGTAACACAATGTAATCAGTTACAACAACTAGTTACATGTAACACAATGTGATCAGTTACAACATCTAGTTACATGTAACACAATGTAATCAGTTACAACAACTAGTTACATGTAACACAATGTAATCAGTTACAACATCTAGTTACATGTAACACAATGTAATCAGTTACAACAACTAGTTACATGTAACACAATGTAATCAGTTACAACAACTAGTTACATGTAACACAATGTGATCAGTTACAACATCTAGTTACATGTAACACAATGTAATCAGTTACAACAACTAGTTACATGTAACACAATGTGATCAGTTACAACAACTAGTTACATGTAACACAATGTGATCAGTTACAACATCTAGTTACATGTAACACAATGTAATCAGTTACAACAACTAGTTACATGTAACACAATGTGATCAGTTACAACATCTAGTTACATGTAACACAATGTAATCAGTTACAACAACTAGTTACATGTAACACAATGTAATCAGTTACAACATCTAGTTACATGTAACACAATGTAATCAGTTACAACAACTAGTTACATGTAACACAATGTAATCAGTTACAACAACTAGTTACATGTAACACAATGTGATCAGTTACAACATCTAGTTACATGTAACACAATGTAATCAGTTACAACAACTAGTTACATGTAACACAATGTGATCAGTTACAACAACTAGTTACATGTAACACAATGTGATCAGTTACAACATCTAGTTACATGTAACACAATGTAATCAGTTACAACAACTAGTTACATGTAACACAATGTAATCAGTTACAACAACTAGTTACATGTAACACAATGTAATCAGTTACAACAACTAGTTACATGTAACACAATGTGATCAGTTACAACATCTAGTTACATGTAACACAATGTAATCAGTTACAACAACTAGTTACATGTAACACAATGTGATCAGTTACAACAACTAGTTACATGTAACACAATGTGATCAGTTACAACATCTAGTGACATGTAACACAATGTAATCAGTTACAACATCTAGTTACATGTAACACAATGTGATCAGTTACAACATCTAGTTACAAGTAACACAATGTAATCAGTTACAACATCTAGTTACATGTAACACAATGTAATCAGTTACAACATCTAGTTACATGTAACACAATGTAATCAGTTACAACAACTAGTTACATGTAACACAATGTAATCAGTTACAACAACTAGTTACATGTAACACAATGTGATCAGTTACAACATCTAGTTACATGTAACACAATGTAATCCATTACAACAACTAGTTACATGTAACACAATGTAATCAGTTACAACAACTAGTTACATGTAACACAATGTAATCAGTTACAACAACTAGTTACATGTAACACAATGTAATCAGTTACAACAACTAGTTACATGTAACACAATGTGATCAGTTACAACATCTAGTTACATGTAACACAATGTGATCAGTTACAACATCTAGTTACATGTAACACAATGTAATCAGTTACAACAACTAGTTACATGTAACACAATGTGATCAGTTACAACAACTAGTTACATGTAACACAATGTAATCAGTTACAACAACTAGTTACATGTAACACAATGTGATCAGTTACAACATCTAGTTACATGTAACACAATGTAATCAGTTACAACAACTAGTTACATGTAACACAATGTAATCAGTTACAACATCTAGTTACATGTAACACAATGTAATCAGTTACAACAACTAGTTACATGTAACACAATGTAATCAGTTACAACAACTAGTTACATGTAACACAATGTGATCAGTTACAACATCTAGTTACATGTAACACAATGTAATCAGTTACAACAACTAGTTACATGTAACACAATGTAATCAGTTACAACAACTAGTTACATGTAACACAATGTAATCAGTTACAACAACTAGTTACATGTAACACAATGTAATCAGTTACAACAACTAGTTACATGTGACACAATGTAATCAGTTACAACAACTAGTTACATGTGACACAATGTAATCAGTTACAACAACTAGTTACATGTAACACAATGTGATCAGTTACAACATCTAGTTACATGTAACACAATGTAATCAGTTACAACAACTAGTTACATGTAACACAATGTAATCAGTTACAACAACTAGTTACATGTAACACAATGTGATCAGTTACAACAACTAGTTACATGTAACACAATGTGATCAGTTACAACAACTAGTTACATGTAACACAATGTAATCAGTTACAACAACTAGTTACATGTAACACAATGTAATCAGTTACAACAACTAGTTACATGTAACACAATGTAATCAGTTACAACATCTAGTTACATGTAACACAATGTAATCAGTTACAACAACTAGTTACATGTAACACAATGTGATCAGTTACAACAACTAGTTACATGTAACACAATGTAATCAGTTACAACATCTAGTTACATGTGACACAATGTAATCAGTTACAACATCTAGTTACATGTAACACAATGTAATCAGTTACAACAACTAGTTACATGTAACACAATGTGATCAGTTACAACATCTAGTTACATGTGACACAATGTAATCAGTTACAACATCTAGTTACATGTAACACAATGTGATCAGTTACAACATCTAGTTACATGTAACACAATGTAATCAGTTACAACAACTAGTTACATGTAACACAATGTAATCAGTTACAACAACTAGTTACATGTAACACAATGTGATCAGTTACCTGAGGATCGAAGTATAAAAGTGATCTGATTCATTCCTGTTACTTTTGGATTACCTCAATATCAAATCAATAAAAGACAGAAGGAATGAGAAGCTGTGATTTGCGCGTGTCCTCGGAGAGTTTATGAAACACACGAGGACATAGTTTAAAAAAGGCAGAAATAAATCACAAACTAATTTATGAACGTATAGATTCAGCTGCTGAATTAAAAACAGAACAAATGATCAGAGAGAGAACAGCTTACGGAGAACATCTGCTTTCAACAAACACTACACTAAACAGTAACAAACATTTGACATATTTCTTATTATTAGTCTCCTGTTCTCTGAGTATGCTTCATTGAGCGGATAAAACCAGATCGGTTTGCACAGTACTGACTGAGACACACACACACACACACACACACACACACACACACACACACACACACACACACACACACACACACACACACACACACACACACACACACACACACACACACAGCTACATACTCAGTGACTGACTTTTTCCCTGATATCAACCACCTTCTCTGTATCTACAGACTTACTATTTATGTTCTGCTGTTTGTAATGTGTATTCTGCCTCAAACTGTACGTACTGTACATGCTGTCAGATACTCAAACTGTACGTACTGTACATGCTGTCTCTCTGCTCTTTCCTTCTGTTTCCTGATGGGTGTAAACCACATGTTGTTGTCCTGGAACTCTGGACAGTGATAATGAAGCTTAGCGTACCAGGAAGACCGTCTTTAGTCATTCATTCACATATTCCCAGCTTGCTCCTCTCTCTCCTCTCAGTGATTGGGGGCGTCACTTCTAGCTAAACCTATCACTTCGCTCTATTCCCACAAGCCTATCATAGTGCATTGCTAACCCTTTAAATCTGCTCTCTCCCCTCCTGACAGGTGTCATTAAGGTGACTCGACGCAGCCCTCCTCCCGAATGATACTCCAGCTCAACGGGGTGGTCAAACACCATGACATTCATCTGTGTATTCCTAGCATCAGAACTGTGTCTCCTGATTGAACTGAAGTGAGCCTCACCGTCTCTTCTGCATGACGGAGGTCACCAGCACCAGCACGATGCCGGCACCCACGGCTCCCATCACCACCCCGAACACGATCAGCCAGGGGGGGGGGCGAGGGGGGCGCGGGGGCCGCCAGGGTGGGGGGGATGCCCAGGAACTCCAGGGTCTTATCCGTCAGCAGGAAGGCGCTGTTGATGCGGTTCCTCGACTTCCTGTTGGGAGAAAACATTTTGAGATTTTCAGAAAAAAGTCAGATTTAGAAATGTCACAGGTCACCCTCATCCTCTCCATAGGAGCGTTAATAGTGTACAGTAAGTATACAGTATATATAGCATACTATATATTTACTATAGTTCAGGACTCATAATGCTGACTCATGTCAGGGTTCAGGACTCATAATGCTGACTCATGTCAGGGTTCAGGACTCATAATGCTGACTCATGTCAGGGTTCAGGACTCATAATGCTGACTCATGTCAGGGTTCAGGACTCATAATGCTGACTCATGTCAGGGTTTAGGACTCATAATGCTGACTCATGTCAGGGTTTAGGACTCATAATGCTGACTCATGTCAGGGTTCAGGACTCATAATGCTGACTCATGTCAGGGTTCAGGACTCCTAATGCTGACTCATGTCAGTGTTCAGGACTCATAATGCTGACTCATGTCAGGGTTTAGGACTCATAATGCTGACTCATGTCAGGGTTCAGGACTCATAATGCTGACTCATGTCAGGCTTCAGGACTCCTAATGCTGACTCATGTCAGTGTTCAGGACTCATAATGCTGACTCATGTCAGGCTTCAGGACTCATAATGCTGACTCATGTCAGGGTTCAGGACTCATAATGCTGACTCATGTCAGGGTTTAGGACTCATAATGCTGACTCATGTCAGGCTTCAGGACTCATAATGCTGACTCATGTCAGATCAGGACTCATTCCCTCAGGCTTACCTCACTGCCTCCTCCACCTGTCTCCTCTCCACCAGCTGGGTGGGGTTGAGTGGAGACGTCACCACGAACCAGAAGGACACTCGGGGAGTTTCGTCACAAACCAGTACGTTCGACACGCTTCAAACACACGTTCAGAAACCATGAGTCACTTCAGTTAAAACATCATATATATCACAATCATGTCGTTTTACAGTTACTGGTTTTATGCACTTGAACTTTGTATTGTTTGGTTTGTAAGGAAACATCTGAGATGTAGCTTCTGTAACGTCTTCAGAGAGAAAACATCTCAATATTTCAACTTACACACAGTATGTTCTGAGTAATGAGACACTTGACTGCAACATGTCAACAACATGAAACAGGAACATGTCTGCAGACGAGCACAGATGAAATACCCTAACGCCTCATTATGTGAACATAACACTTGTATTGTGGTAATGTCAGTAATGAAGTGGGGGGGGGGTCTCATGGTGATATCTGACAGCTAGTTGTAAGCCATTCACCTGTAGGTCTTTTATAAATAATATCATTAGTTGACAGTGTTCTCACTCGTAGTTCTGCCCGTCTGCGGTCCTCATGGCGAAGGCCAGCGCCGCTCTGAAGAGGAACATCTCGCTGTCGTTCCAGAGGTACTGCAGGAACATTACACATGCACCTCATAACACATAGGACTCAGGATGTTACCATTTAGATACAGAACTGACACCAAGGAGACATGAGACAAGTCTCTGCTGTATGCTTGTTAACGATTATATTTGGACGTTTGAATACCTTGGACTCTGAGACACTGCGATGGACATTTTGAATATTTGCTGAGGTTCTACACAAATCATTAATCTAGAGAGTGAACTGCAGATTAAAGATCACTCATTGTTGCAGCTCTGTTTGTACGGAGCTGTTTGAATCAGATAGTAAACAAAGAACTTTACAATACGTACAGCTTCATCTCCCAGAGCCGTTAGGATGCTGAGTCGCACTTTGTAGCCGTTTGAAGCATCTGTGAAACAACATGTTTATACGTTAGAGGACTCTTTAAAGTAGAGACACTACATATACACCTGAACATCAGCAGGAGAGGACTCTTTAAAGTAGAGACTCTACATACTGATATACACCTGAACATCAGCAGGAGAGGACTCTTTAAAGTAGAGACACTACATACTGATATACACCTGAACATCAGCAGGAGAGGACTCTTTAAAGTAGAGACACTACCTACTGATATACACCTGAACATCAGCAGGAGAGGACTCTTTAAAGTAGAGACACTACATACTGATATACACCTGAACATCAGCAGGAGAGGACTCTTTAAAGTAGAGACACTACATACTGATATACACCTGAAAATCAGCAGGAGAGGACTCTTTAAAGTAGAGACACTACATACTGATATACACCTGAACATCAGCAGGAGAGGACTCTTTAAAGTAGAGACACTACATACTGATATACACCTGAACATCAGCAGGAGAGGACTCTTTAAAGTAGAGACACTACATACTGATATACACCTGAAAATCAGCAGGAGAGGACTCTTTAAAGTAGAGACACTACATACTGATATACACCTGAACATCAGCAGGAGAGGACTCTTTAAAGTAGAGACACTACATACTGATATACACCTGAACATCAGCAGGAGAGGACTCTTTAAAGTAGTTAAGTCACAGCTGACGTCACATGGAGGCTAACTGTTGAGTTATTTGTTAATCTGGTTTAACTTCAGATCAGAAACATTCCTCACCTGTTTCTGTCGCTCAGTATTACATGTGGAGTTTGACAGAGAGTCCAAACTGATTGGAGGTGGTGATGGTTACCTACCTGGAGCACAGAGCTGAGCAGCAGCAGAGGACACACACAGCAGCAGGAATACAACGTCCTCCATGTTCAACCAGCGGAGAGTAATGAGTGTCTGGAGGTTGAGCAGCGTCTCAGAGTTAATGATTGAACCCTCTCCTCTACAGTAAAAGCTGTTTGCTCAGCTTATATTATTACTGGGAGCTGATGTTTACGCACTCACAGGTAACTCAGTACATTTACTCAAGTACTTAGTTACACTTTAGAGATACTTGTAGTTTAGTTTAGTTTTCAATGTTATGATACTGTGTACTCCCCCCTGATAATATATCTCTCTGTGAGACTGGACACAGATACACGTTATCAGTGTGATGGAGACTGGAATGTGTGTGTGTGTGTGTGTGTGTGTGTGTGTGTGTGTGTGTGTGTGTGTGTGTGTGTGTGTGTGTGTGTGTGAGTGTGTGTGTGTGTGTGTGTGTGTGTGTGTGTGTGTGTGTGTGTGTGTGTGTGTGTGTGTGTGTGTGTGTGTGTGTGTGTGTGTGTGTGTGAGATAAGAGCATATTCCCGGCATGTCGTTACAGGAAGTGGAAACACACTGACCTCCCTGTGTTTAGAGTCAGAGCTCAAAAACATTACAAAAACTAGTATTTATTTTTTTATTCGCCAGAATTAAAAGTCAGAACAAATATAATTTACATTTCTTATTTTTTAATTATATTTAAATAAGTTAGTTTTTAAATTCAGAATTCCTCGATAAAAAGAAATGTCTCAAAGTATTTCTGAATTTAAAGATAATAAGTCAACAATCTGAATTTAAGTTTTAAAAATAAATAAACTCTGAAACTCTGAATATTATTTCGGGACTAAAATATATTTCTACTTGAAATAAGTTCTGCCTTCATAATGTCAGAATGATAAGAATGAACTCAGTCTTTGTGAGACGCTCTCCTGTCGAGTCCCTCATGTTAATGTTCCACCTGCTCACTCTCTCAATAACACTTTAACACTGAGCTGTAAAACCCATCATTCTGCCATAAAATCTCTCAGGACTTTTCCAGAGAACAGAAACACCCGTCATGAAACAGCTTTATTGTGAGAGGCTCTGATATATAACGTTGTTCTTTTCTGTCTTTTCCAAATTAAATAATTAACTTTAAGTTTTATTTTAAATGTTCTTCTCTTGTTACAGACTGCAGTACTGCTCCTGAACAGATGGGGGCAGCAGAGGCTTCACCCCAATGATGAGCTGCACTCATTATTTACCATGAGTTCTGTTTTTACCTTTGCTTTCGGGGTCATTCCAGAATTGGAGGACAATTTAGACATCGACACTTTTGAAAAATGAACCTTTTATTTTATATATTTTTGTTATGTAATTGAGAAAAACAGGTATTAAACCATCAGAAAAAGTGATTGGCCCAGCTCAGGCATCAAACGTATAGTTTTTATTTGATGTTTTATTGGTTGTGTGCCATGCTTTGTTCAACCCTGTTACCAATACTCATTAAACTGAAAAAAGTACATTTCAAAATATTGTTAAATAAAATCCTTTTCTATTGTGTAAAGAAAGTCACATTCAAGTTAAATACTCATGTTATTTAGGATAAAACTTGTTTTATATTAATTTAAGTAGCTTTTTTAATCTGTCTTGCCCAACTTTTCAATAGTCACACGTTTCTTTTTACACATTTCTGTATTTAATTAAACATATTTGCTCAAATACATTATATATACAATTACTCAAACTATTAAAAGGACAATAGTTGTAACCCTTGGGAGCTGAGAAAATTATTTAAGGTTATTTTTAATAGAAAATCATATAGTAACAGGGTTGAAATTAGATTCTAAAGATCAATTATAATGTAATCAAATAAAACATGAGACTTGATGAACAAAGCGCTGCTGGATATCTGAAGTTGTATTCATGTAAATGTTTATTTGATGTATTAACCAATAATCTGAATCTGCACAAGCTGTCAGATAAAAGACTGATTTCAATAAGGATCATAAACTGAGAATACTCGGGTAAAAGTTACCATGGTTACATATTTGATTCCAATTCTATTTCTACGATTTCAATCATATTCAAAGTAAATATATTTTACTATTTTTTTATATATTTTTTAATGTATTATAGTTTTCTTCAAATAATTGTTTATCTGTGTTTTAAATATTTGTTTTACTTTGATGTACGCACCACGACACCAAGTCAAATTCCTCGTACGTGTCAACCCACCTGGAGATAAACCTGGTTCTGGTTCTGAAGGTTATTCTAAATAAAACGTTATTATTGAAGTCCTTTACTCTCTAGAAAACACTCTGACCTGAGGAGCAGATCTATTCAAGTCTGATTCATTAATCCATGTAATACCTCCTGCTTCCGGTGCAACAGCGCCCCCTGCAGGCTCCACACACACATCCACACACACACACATCCACACACACACACACACACACACACACACACACACACAGGCGGTAGGAGTGGATTAGCTGTACCGAAGTGACGCCGCCCTCCTGACCGGCTCTCTCTAACAGGGACCAGAGATCAGAACAGGGACCAGGACCAGGGACCAGGCCCGGACTCTGTGCAGGATGCCCCCCGCTGAGTGTGTGTAGCTCCCGGGAGATGGACCCGGACCCGGTGTGCGTCGGGATCCCGCTGACGGAGCAGGAGAGGCGGCTGTTCTCCGGGCTGCTGAGCCGCTGCCAGGCCCCCCCCCTCCGGACCCCTGAGCTCCGGGAGGGTGGCCGAGCTGTTCCAGGCTGCACAGCTGCCCCCCGAAGCCCTGCACCGGGTCAGTGTGTGTGTGTGTGTGTGTGTGTGTGTGTGTGTGTGTGTGTGTGTGTGTGTGTGTGTGTGTGTGTGTGTGTGTGTGTGTGTGTGTGTGTGTGTGTGTGTGTGTGTGTGTGTGTGTGTGTGTGTGTGTGTGTGTGTGTGTGTGTGTGTGTGTGTGTCAGAATGTGTGGCATTGAGCTCCCTTCCTTCCTTTCCCGCCCCCTCACAGAGTGATTGACAGCCCCCCCCGCAGGAAGTGTGTTGCTCGCTACGGGTCAGAAAGAACCGTACCTGTGTTTCCTCTCAGAGACATGATCACACACACACACACAACACACACACACACACAGACAGACAGACAGAGACACACACACACACACACACACACACACACACACACACACACACACACACACACACACACACACACACACACACACACACACCATGTACTGTAAACATACTCCACCACAGGTAAAACACCAGAGGCCTGTACTACGAAGCCGGATGTTCTCTGAGCTAACTTCACGGAAATCTCGGGCTTTCCGGTCCTACGACGCTGGTTCTCTTTTTAGCGGGCTAGATCTCCATGGTAACTGATGCTGAGCGGCTAGCCTGGTCCGGAGCAGGTTAGGTGGCAGGCTAAGAGATCAACTCAGTGAAAGCACCGCCTGCTGACCAATCAGAGCTCCGTGTGCAGAGTTTAAAGATATCAAGTCATATTACAGGATAGAGGAAATACAGAAAAACTGCCGTTGCAGGAAAGACGGCCGGCAAAAATCACCTGACTGTGTGAACGTGAACATTAATAGAATATCCCCTCCTCCCATCTTCAGAGCAATCTGACTATTATAACATTAGCGTTAAGAAAGCTTACTTAAATATCTGCCACAACATAAGTAACCGGATCAGAGTAACATTAAGTACAGTCCGCGGCACTGTGAGTGCAGACGTCGATGTGTCCCATTATCATTCATATCATATCACATCATAATGTATCATATATCTCCTTATCTGAGTCAGCTGAGCCGTATCTGGCCGTGCAACACTCACAGTGTCACATACTGGATGCAGAAGTATTATTTTAAGCAACACATTAAGTTGACGAAACACTCGAGTCAAATGTAATGAAAGTCAGATCGTGTCTTAGACGGGGCAGTGATATCATAAACCTGTTAATGTACGCATTCAAACACTTTCTCTGTTACCAGCTGTACTCACCTTGCAGGTGCAGCTATGTGGCTTTGATCCTGGATAAAGTGTTTAAGTCATGGATGTTTAAAGTTTAACTTCTTCATATTTGACTAATATTAAAGTTCACTTTTCATTCAGGAAGTATGACGCTGCGCTGTCAGTACGCTTGTCCATGTGTGTGATTGGTCGAATGCTCCAGATACCACCCCTTTCATGTGAACGCGCACCTAACTAGATAGGACACGGCTGGCTTGAGTTACCGAGTTGATAACCAGCGTCGTAGGACCGCTTAGCGAGAGCGCGTTTGTTTTGGATTAGGTAAACCGGGTAACTCAAACATATCCAGGTTAGGTTGAACCGGCTTCGTAGTACAGGCCTCTGAGGTGAGAATGTGATTTGATCAGATAAACTCCCCCCCAGGTGATGGAGGTCTGACATAATAAAGGCTGTTCTCTCCTCTCTCCCCCCCCCCCCCCCCCAGGTGATATAATAAAGGCTGTTCTCTCCTCTCTACCCCCCCCCCCAGGTGATGGAGGTCTGACATAATAAAGGCTGTTCTCTCCTCTCTCCTCCCCCCCCCCCCCCCCCCAGGTGATATAATAAAGGCTGTTCTCTCCACTCTAACCCCCCCCCCCCAGGTGATGGAGGTCTGACATAATAAAGGCTGTTCTCTCCTTTCTTCTCCCCCCCCCCCCCAGGTGATATAATAAAGGCTGTTCTCTCCTCTCTACCCCCCCCCCAGGTGATGGAGGTCTGACATAATAAAGGCTGTTCTCTCCTTTCTCCCCCCCCCCCCCAGGTGATATAATAAAGGCTGTTCTCTCCTCTCTACCCCCCCCCCAGGTGATGGAGGTCTGATATAATAAAGGCTGTTCTCTCCTCTCTCCCCCCCCCCCCCAGGTGATATAATAAAGGCTGTTCTCTCCTCTCTACCCCACCCCCAGGTGATGGAGGTCTGATATAATAAAGGCTGTTCTCTCCCTCTCTCCCCCCCCCCAGGTGATATAATAAAGGCTGTTCTCTCCTCTCTCCCCCCCCCCAGGTGATATAATAAAGGCTGTTCTCTCCTCTCTCCCCCCCCCCAGGTGATATAATAAAGGCTGTTCTCTCCTCTCTCCTCCCCCCCCCCCCCAGGTGATGGAGGTCTGTGGGGCGAAGAGACTCGGTTTCTTCTCGACTCGTCAGTTCTTCGTGGCTCTGAAGCTGCTCGCTGCCGCTCAGGCAGGACTACCTGTTCACCTGGAGAGCCTGAGAGCAGGTGAGAGGGGGAGGAGCCTGAGAGCAGGTGAGAGGAGGGGAGGAGCCTGAGAGCAGGTGAGAGGGGGGGAGGAGCCTGAGAGCAGGTGAGAGGGGGGGAGGAGCCTGAGAGCAGGTGAGAGGGGGAGGAGGTGAGGGGGAGGAGCCTGAGAGCTGGTGAAGGGGAGGAGCCTGAGAGCAGGTGAGGGGGGGATCTACAGGTGAGGGGGAGGAGCCTGAGAGCAGGTGAGGGGGGAGGAGCCTACAGGTGAGGACAGCAGGTGAGGGGGAGGAGGTGAGGGGGGAGGAGCGTACAGGTGAGGGGGGAGGAGGACAGCAGGTGAGGGGGAGGAGCCTGAGAGCAGGGGAGGGGGGAGGAGCCTACAGGTGAGGGGGAGGAGCCTGTCTGAAGAGAGGAAGAAGTGAGTTCCAGGAGTCCTGCAGGATCATCAGATTATGGGGGATTATCCTCAGAGCTCTCTCAGGATGGATTATCAGTGTGGGGAGGGGGGGGGGGGCAGCTCCTCCTGATTAATCTCTAAATCCAGAGAGGTCAAAGGTCACAGGAAGCTGCTCTCCAGAGGAACCTGGAAACAGGAAGTGCATTGACTCTGTGTATCAGGGCCCTGATTGGTTCAAACATCTTCATTTTATGAATACCTGTGTCTCCCCCCCCCCCCCCTTCCCTCCCCCTCAGATCTCCCTCTCCCCAGGTTTGAGGGTCTGAAGAACGATCCGGAGGTCTGGTTCCCCCCTGCAGACGAGGGGGAGACACAGGTGAGGAACAGAGGGGCGGAGGGTGGGAGACACAGGTGAGGAACAGCCGGAGGGAGGGGGAGACACAGGTGAGGAACAGCTGGAGGGAGGGGGGAGACACAGGTGAGGAACAGCTGGAGGGAGGGGGGAGACACAGGTGAGGAACAGCTGGAGGGAGGGGGGGAGACACAGGTGAGGAACAGCTGGAGGGAGGGGGGAGACACAGGTGAGGAACAGCTGGAGGGAGGGGGGAGACACAGGTGAGGAACAGCTGGAGGGAGGGGGGAGACACAGGTGAGGAACAGCTGGAGGGAGGGGGGAGACACAGGTGAGGAACAGCTAGCGGGAGGGGGAGACGCAGGTGAGGAACAGCTGGAGGGAGGGGGGAGACACAGGTGAGGAACAGCTGGAGGGAGGGGGGGAGACACAGGTGAGGAACAGCTGGAGGGAGGGGGGAGACACAGGTGAGGAACAGCTGGAGGGAGGGGGGAGACACAGGTGAGGAACAGCTGGAGGGAGGGGGGAGACGCAGGTGAGGAACAGCTGGAGGGAGGGGGGAGACACAGGTGAGGAACAGCTGGAGGGACATGAACCCTCAGGTGTAAACAGAGAACCCTAACAGAACCTGTGGGTTCTCACACAGCAGGGATCTGGTTCAGAGGAACAAAGACACGGAAAGGAGAACACGTTTTTTAAAGAAAGTACGATTTAGAAAAGGTGTTTTAAAACCTTTAAAGACTATTGTTTAAAATAAGACAATATTTACATAACATATAAACATTTCAGGATGTCTCAGAGAAACACTCTGTATATACTGTATATATGTTATATACTGTATATATGTTATATACAGTATATAACATATATACATATATATATATATATATAACATATATATATATATATATATATATATATATATAACATATATATATATATATATATGTTATATACAGTATATAACATATATACAGTATATAACATATATATATATATATATATATATATAACATATATACATATATATATATATATATGTATACAGAACAGACTGCCTGAGGCTGTGAGCGTAGCCCATTGTTCTTCATGGAGCACCAGAGGAATCAGGGAAGCCATTGTTTCTGGATTAGGATTAGAATCTGTAAAAAGTCTTGTAATCTCTTCAGACCTGGAAGGTGGGGGGGGGCTTTAGTTGTGAACATAATGAACACAGAGTGATGATGACGGAGAGATGGGGGGGGGGGTTTGCTGCCACGCAAACATTACCCCAATGGGGATCAATAAGGTACTTCTTATCTTAAAGAGTCCCTGAACCCCTCGTGTCCATCCGGAGGGGGGGTTCAGGAGACAGAGCCAGCTGGAGGGGCTCAGGGACTTTAACATGTTTTCATTTGATCTTATTAATACAATATTTAAAAAGGGGCGGGACCACCTCAAAGTCAATGCTATTGTCTTTCAGCTTGAACTGTACACTGTGTGTGTGTTGTGTGTGTGTGTGTGTGTGTGTGTGTGGTGTGTGTGTGTGTGTTTGTGTGTGTGTGTGTGTGTGTGTGTGTGTGTGTGTGTGTGTGTGTGTGTGTGTGTGTGTGTGTGTGTGTGTGTGTGTGGTGTGTGTGTGTGTGTGTGTGTGTGTGTGTGTGTGTGTGTGTGTGTGTGTGTGTGTGTGTGTGTGTGTGTGTGTGTGTGTGTGTGTGTGTGTGTGTGTGTGCAGCCTCAGGACCCCTGGAGGATCTCAGAGGAACAGCTCCAGTATTACACCGCTCAGTTCAGGAGTCTGCAGCCCGACCTGGGGGCTCTGATCCTGGGTACGAAGCACCACGAGACCCCTGGATACACTTTAGATTTCACTGGATGCACAGAAGTATAACATTGCTTATACCCCCCCCCCCCCCCTGTCTGCCCCCCCCCCCCCCCCCCCCGTCTGCCCCCCCGCCCTCTGTCTGCAGGAAGCATCGCTAAGAACTTCTTCACGAAGTCCAAGCTGCCGATCCCTGACCTGTCTCACATCTGGTGAGAGAGACAGTTCAGAACTTACTTTAGATGAGTTTGATTGCATACTGTGTACGTCCCTCTCCTCAGGGAGCTGATAGGGTCCTGCTGATCTTATGTGTATATATACTGTGTACTGTGTACTGTGTATATTATGTATATTATATATCTGTACACGTCCCTCTCCTCAGGGAGCTGAGTGACGTGGACAGAGATGGCGCTCTCTCCTTCTCTGAGTTCTGCACAGCGTTCCATCTCATCGTGGCTCGAAAGAACGGATACCCTCTCCCTGAGACGCTGCCCCCCCCTCTGCAGCTGCACACAGGAACCCCCCCCCGAGGTGAGGATGGCATCTCTTTTAAAGGTCTCCTATCATGCAAAATGCATAATAATGTAGTATAATAGGAGACTTTTAATATAAATTCATAAACAGCTGCAGACTGTCACTGTGTGTTTGTGCAGAGCGCTGAGTCCAGAAGCAGACCTCCTCAGGACCTGGACCCCCCCCTGAGGACCAGAACCAGACCTCCTCAGGACCTGGACCCCCCCCTGAGGACCAGAACCAGACCCAGGTGAAGATCCGCTCATTAATAATAATGAATTGGATTAGGACTTCTGTTTGTGACTTTATGTAAAGCGTCTTTGAGCATGAGGAGAAGCGCTATAACAATCCAATGTATTATTATTATTAATAACAGATTCTGGTCTCCTGTATTTATAACAACACAGAGCTGTGCCCCCCCTCCAGGTCGTTCTCCAGCACGTCTATAGAAGAAGCCATGAAGAAGTCAGAGGAGCCCCCGACCCCCCCACCCCGGCCCCAGAAGACCCACTCCAGAGCCTCTTCTCTGGACCTCAACAAGCTCTTCCAGCAGGGGGCTCCAGGTAACCCCCCCTCATAGTATTTATACCCTCTAACACCAGCAGGGGGCTCCAGGTAACCCCCCCTCATAGTATTTATACCCTCTAACACCAGCAGGGGGCTCCAGGTAACCCCCCGTCATAGTGTTTATACCCTCTAACACCAGCAGGGGGCTCCAGGTAACCCCCCGTCATAGTGTTTATACCCTCTAACACCAGCAGGGGGCTCCAGGTAACCCCCCCCTCATAGTGTTTATACCCTCTAACACCAGCAGGGGGCTCCAGGTAACCCCCCTCATAGTGTTTATACCCTCTAACACCAGCAGGGGGCTCCAGGTAACCCCCCCTCATAGTGTTTATACCCTCTAACACCAGCAGGGGGCTCCAGGTAACCCCCCCTCATAGTGTTTATACCCTCTAACACCAGCAGGGGGCTCCAGGTAACCCCCCCTCATAGTATTTATACCCAGAGTGTAGGAATACTCTGTTTCAGTAAAAGTCCTGCATTCAAAATGTTCCTCAAGTGAAAGTAGAAAAGTATTCTCATCAAAATATAGTGAAAGTAGCGACAGTAAAAGTAGTCATTGTGCAGATTGGTCCATTTCAGAATAATATATATGATATGTTTTATAATGATTGATCATGAAAGTGTTCTCAAAGCTGGTAAAGGTGCAGCTAGTTTGAATGACTTTGTATACTGCAGGGTAGCTTGTGGATTTACTCCAGGTGGAACTAAAGTCTTTAACACTTGATTATATTATTATAACCCACCTTTAAAGGGCTCCAGGTAACCCACCTTTAAAGGGCTCCAGGTAACCCACCTTTAAAGGGCTCCAGGTAACCCACCTTTAAAGGGCTCCAGGTAACCCACCTTTAAAGGGCTCCAGGAAACCCACCTTTAAAGGGCTCCAGGTAACCCACCTTTAAAGGGCTCCAGGTAACCCACCTTTAAAGGGCTCCAGGTAACCCACCTTTAAAGGGCTTCAGGTAACCCACCTTTAAAGGGCTCCAGGTTACCCACCTTTAAAGGGCTCTAGGTAACCCACCTTTAAAGGGCTCCAGGTTACCCACCTTTAAAGGGCTCCAGGAAACCCACCTTTAAAGGGCTCCAGGAAACCCACCTTTAAAGGGCTCCAGGAAACCCACCTTTAAAGGGCTCCAGGTAACCCACCTTTAAAGGGCTCCAGGTAACCCACCTTTAAGGGCTAACCAATTTAACCGGAGCCTTTAAGGAACCCACCTTTCAAAGGGCTTCCAGGTACCCCCTTGTAATAGGGCTTCAGGTTAACCCCCTTTAAAGTGCTCCAGGCTAACCCACCTTTAAAGGGCTCCAGGGTACCCCACCTTAAAAGGGCTCCCGGTTAATCCACACTTTAAAGGGCTCCAAGGTAACCCACCTTTAAAAGGGCTCCAGGCTAACCCACCTTTCAAGGGGTCCAGGTAAACCCACCTTTAAAGGGCTCCAGGAAACCACCTTTAAAGGGCTCACAGGACCCACCTTTAAAGGGCTCCAAGGTTGAAACCCCACCTTTAAAGGGCTCCAGGTACCCACCTTTAAAGGGCTCCAGGAA